TATTAATTTTATAATGCCCCCATCTGACTTATATATTTTAAAGTAGTTTTTCAGCCCTGGCCAGTTTGGCTCAGCGGTTAGAGCGTCGGCCTGCGGTCCGGAGAGACCCGGGTTCGGTTCCCGCTAAGGGCACGTACCTCGGTTGCAGTTTGTCCCCGGCCCTGGTTGGTCGTGCGGGTGGCAGCCACTCAATGTGTCCCTTCACGTCGATGTTTCTCTCTCTCTCTCCCTTCCTCTCTCTCCCTCCCACTCTATCTGTACAAAAATGGAAAAATATCCTCGGGTGAGGATAAAAAAAAAATTAAATAAATAAATAAAGTAGTTTTTCAGTTTATTCTCTTTGCTCTTATAAGCATAGACACATGTTCGGAAAGTGGCCACTTTGCCTCTTCCGTCCCAGTCTGCACCTCTCAGTGTCCTCTCTTGTCCGACCGTGCTCCAGCGATCAGGTGTGCCACGGTGACCGTGGCCACCCCTGTACTTTTCCTGACATTAGTGAAAATGTGTCCAGTGAATTTCAGTAAGCGTGATATTAGCTTTTGAACTAAGAGGGAAATAATTCATCATGTTAAAGAAGTATTCGTATGTTCCAGTTGTCTCGTTTTGCTTTTCAATATCGAGAATGGACGTGGCTCTGTCCAGTGCCTTTCAGCAGCCAGTGCTGCGCTCCAGGGGTCCGCGCTGGGCTCTCCCGTGACGCCGCGCATTCATGTCCATCCTTAGCGCGGACCCGTCGGGGTCCCGGGGTAACTGGTACCTGCTCGACCGCCCTGCTTGCGTGTTTAAGGTGCTGCTGGTGTTCAGTGTGTTCACATTTCAGCTGAAATGTTTGCGTTGGGACTCACAAGGGAGACTGACCTGTATTACATCTTTTCGGGGGCTTAGCATCAACGTGATTATACTCATTTCATAAAAAAGTATTTGTACCATTTTTATTTTTCACAAATACAACCTTGACTGTTTAGGTACATCACTATAGTGATTAGGCTTGGTCTTCCTCTTCATCCCACTACGACTAACATCTGTGACAACTGCTAAAAAGCCTTCAGCGTGGTCTGGCAGTGTGGCTCAGTGGTGGAGCGTCGACCCTGCACCAAGAGGTCGCTGGTTTGATTCCCGGGCAGGGCACATGCCCGGTTTGTGGGCCAGATCCCCAGTGGGGGGTGTGCGGGAGGCGGCCAATCGATGTTCTCTCATCGATGTTTCTCTCTCCCTCTCCCTTCTTCTCTAAAATTAATAAAAGAGAAAACAATTTTAAAAAGCAGCTTTCAGCACGACCAGCTCTGTTTTCAGTACACGGATCACACCCTCTAATTAGTACATCAGGCGCAGGAGGGAGGCTCCGCGGGGGCCAGCTGGCTTCGGGCTGCGCACCCAGCTCGTGGGGACCCTGCCTCCTCCTCCAGCGGCTCCCCACCCTGCCCTGTGGCCCTTCGCGCTATTTCACCATTAACCAGACGTCCTTTGCTCTCGCCTGTTCAGTGACGAGATGCTCTCTGTACTTCTGGGTGTCTCTCCTGTACACTTAGACATTCCACCGACATTCTTAATCCTATAATTGTTACCTTTCTAAACTAACATGCAACGTGTTTGGCTGCTTGCCACGCACTTTCAAGACCCGACTTGAAAGACGATTTCACTGGAGGGACGAGACCTAAACACACAGAGTGAAATAACACCAAGTCCAAATGACAGGCACTCAGGCAGCCTGGTGACCTGCCAAACGAGAGGCTGGATACTGAGTGTCCGCCGAGCTCAGAGGAGGAAGACAGGAGTCCTCTGGGGGCCGAGGGAAGGCTCTGGAAGCTGAGTTGGCCTTGGCAGGGAAGTGGGGGAAGCTGGTGTGCAGAGGGGACGGTCAGGGTGCCCGGGAGCCTGTGCAGCTGCGCAGCGCCTCCTGCTCCGTACCGGGCTCCCTGCTGAGGCCCGCAGCCTGGTCTCTGCTGCGTGTGCTGTGTTCTGCTGTCAACAGTGCAGACGCGAACCGCCTCTTCCGTGTCTGCCGCAGGGGTCGGCGAGGTACGGTGCCCGGCCGCATCTGGCTCGATGCCCACGTTTATAAAGAAAGTTTTATTGGAACCCAGCCATGCTCATTCATTCACACACTGTCCGTTTCTGCTTTCACACTATAACAGCCACGTTGAGTAGCGACGGCAGAGGACGTGCGTTCCACAGACTCAAATACTTACTATCTGGCCCTTTATGGAAAGTGTGTTGATCCCAATCCGTGGCAACTTGTCTTATTATTTCCTTAGTATAAATTCCTTAAATAGTATTTATGGATCAAAGGGTATACAGATGAAATTTTTTGATATTTACGTAGTCCATGTTCCTTAAAAAAATGTTATGTTAATTTGTGTATCCAGCAGCACTGTATGGAGTGGTTTATTTCCCACATGCTAGAAACTCCAGTCATTAAAATGATTTCAGCCCTGGCCAGTTTGGCTCAGCGGTTAGAGCGTCGGCCTGCGGTCCGGAGAGACCCGGGTTCGGTTCCCGCTAAGGGCACGTACTTCGGTTGCAGTTTGTCCCCGGCCCTGGTTGGTCGTGCGGGTGGCAGCCACTCGATGTGTCCCTTCACGTCTATGTTTCTCTCTCTCCCACTCTATCTGTACAAAAAATGGAAAAATATCCTCGGGTGAGGATAAAAAAAAAAAATGATTTCAAATGTTTACCAATCCTATATGTGAAAAGAGATATAGTAGCATTATATTTAAAATTCTCTGTTAGTGACTTATAAAACTTCTATCAAATTTCTGTTTGTATTCTTTGTCATCTTTTCTACGGAGGTGTTCAGATTTTTTTTATTACTTTCTAAGAACTCTTTATATATGAAAGATATTTATTATCTCATTCATTACCAGTCTATTCTTTTCCCATTACTATGACATTTTTATTACTTTATCTTTATAGTTTGATTTATAGCAAGTGGGGCAAGTTCCCTGTACTTATAGTCCTTTTTCAAAAACTTTTTGCATATTTTCATGTATTCATTTTTCCATGTAAGTTGGAGAATAATTTTGTCATTAAAGTAGTTTTCATTTTATTGGAATTGCATTGACTGCAGAGAATAATGAAAAGATAATATGTATTTGTACTTATATTAAGTCTTTCCAGGGAAATAATCCATCAGTCTATTGGTTCAAGTTTTCTTTCAAATTCTACAGTAGAATTTGTCCTTATAAGTCTGCATAATATGTCAACACAATTTTTTGTTAAGTTTACTGTGTTTTCTAGGAAGATAATCATGTAATCTAAAAACTATCACTTTAAAATACTTATAACTCCTTTTCTTTTTCTTATGCATTAGAATGTACAGAAAAATATTAACCAATAGATCTGACAGCAACTATTTTTTTTTCTTGAGTTTCACTTTGAGGGCAATACTTCTAAAGCTTTGCTGCTAAGAACAATGCAAACCATCTCTTGGTTTCTATGACAAATACTCTGAGGTTAAGAGAAGGCTTCCTATTTCCAGTTTATGAAGACATTTCTGAAACTAGCTTTTGATGTCAATTTCATCAAATGCCAGGGAGCATCTACAGAGATGATCCAATGGCGTTTCTCTGGAAGAACACGGATGCGGCCAAGAGCAGAATCTTTTTTTTAAAATAAACTTTGCTTCAGCCATTCTGCTTTAAGAAATTAAAGCAAAGGAAGTGATGGAACATGTGAACCAAGATTTATGCTTAAGTATGTTCATAGCAGCATTGTTCATAATAGTGATAGTTTAGATCCATTAAAGTTAATTAGGAAGTAGAGAATTAAGTTAATTATGCTACATCTATAAACATAATACTCTATAGCTATTTTGAATAATATTTTAAATGAATATTTAATGCCACTGAAATATGTCATGAATTATTAAAGGATTTGTATAGTGTGTTTGCAGTTGTACTTTTTTTTTTTTTTTTTTATCCTCACCCGAGGACATTTTTCCATTTTTTGTTCAGGTAGAGTGGGAGGGAGAGAGAGGAACAGAGAGAGAGAGAAACATCGATGTGAAAGGGACACATCGAGTGGCTGCCACCCGCACGACCAACCAGGGCCGGGGACAAACTGCAACCGAAGTACGTGCCCTTAGCAGGAACCGAACCCAGGTCTCTCCAGACCGCAGGTCGATGCTCTAACCGCTGAGCCAAACCGGCCAGGGCCAGTTGTACTTTTTATTATTTTATATTTTGAAGTTGCACTTGGGCTGTTTCCAGATCTTAGCTATTATAAATAGTGCTACTATGAACATAGGGGTACACACATTCTTTCTGATTGGTGTTTCAGGCTTCGTAGTGTACATACCTAGAAGTGGGGTCACTGGGTCACATGGCAGTTCAATTTTTAATGTGAGGAAACAGCAAGTGTTTTCCATAGCGGCTGCACCAGTCTGCATTCCCCCCAGCAGTGTGCTAGAGTCCCCCTTTCTCCACACCCTCGCCAGCCCGTACTGTTCGAGGGTTTGTGATGGCGGCCACTCTGGCAGGTGCGAGGCGATAAGGGGAGGAGTCCTTACGGGTGAGCAGGACCTAAGCGGAGGAAGACGGACGGGCGGGCAGCTGGGGGGAGGGCCGAGCACGGCGTGGCGTGTCCGAGGGCAGTAACGGCGCAGCAGCGTGAGTGGTGGACAGTGAGTGGGTGTGGGAGTTACTGTGGTGACGGTGGGACAGGAGAGGGGACTGAGGGAGCCGACGTGAACATAAAGGGCTCCTGAAACCAAGCCGCTCGGAACCGGCTAAGAACTGAGCATCGTGTTGTTGCATCTCGTTCAGAGGCCAGACGGGAGGAGAAATACCCTCGCATGAGGATAAAAAAAAAATAAGAAAATAAAAACCACAATCATAAACTCATTCTGAAACCGATTTGCAAGTACGCGCCTCGATGAACAGCACAGGTATTTTCCTGGAGGAAAGTAACCAAGGCCTCACAGCTGCAAACCCAGCAACCCCAGACTCCAGGGAAGTATCATCGGGGTACACCGACATCTTATTTCTCAAGCGCATTTGTACCTGCTGTGGGGTCTTGTTCGAAAACAGGACGGCGGAGCCTCCTTCTTCTGCGTTGGGGAAGTCAGGGAAGGTGCCAGTCAGGTTCCTGAGGGGCAGGAAAAGGCGGGTTAGACGGAAGTGGTCTCAGTCCTCTGGTCCATCCCCCTCTGGTCCATCCCCCTCTGGTCCATCCCCCTTCGCTGGCTCCCTGTGTTCGCTTCAATGAGTGACGGTGACTGGGGGGAGGCGCCCCGCCCACCGTGGGCGGACTCCCCATCTCTCTGGAGCAGAAGGGTCCGGGCAGGGGCACCGGCTTCCCTCCTGCAGGGGTTGTTTCTCTCCCTAAGACTGATCGTAAGCTGCGTGCTTTTTTTTCCCCCTTTAAATTACCGAGGTACTCTGTGCTCGAGTTAAGAATGAGGACAGAGGCACAAATCATTTCTTCCTGTTTAAACTTGAAGATAAACACAGGAGTTTGAAACGAAACAGAAGGGCAGAGGTGTTAGAGTTACAGGTTCCCCAATAGTGCTTGAAATACACTAGGTTTCAGGAAGTCTGAGGGCCAGTGTTTTATGGGTTCCAAGTAGCAGTTTACTTTTGCTGTAACCATATAATTTCTACATCTTGAAAAGCAGGCTTTATAATTTAATGTTGAGGAATTTCAGAAGGAATATGCAGTTGATATTTCTAAGAGGAACCGACTTAGACAGTGTTATGTTTAGTCCACATGCTGAAAGATAAGATGACCAGGACAGTTCCATTAACACAGAGACATACAGAACCCAGGGCCGGAGGAGATGACCATGTTTAAAATGGCTCTACAACAGTGGTTCTCAAACTTTTAGCCTTAGGAACCCTTTATACTCTTTTTATTTTTATATTTATTTATTTTTAATATTTTTTCTTTATTGATTTCAGAGAGAGAGGAAGGGAGAGGGAAAGAGAGAGAAACATCGATGAGAGAGAACATCGATGCCCCTCACTGGGGATTGGGTCCACAACCTGGGCATGTGCCCTGACCGGGAATCGAACCTACAACCTTTTAGTGCAGGGCTGACGCTCAGCCACTGAGCCACACCTGCCGGGCTATTTTATTTACTTTTTTTTTTTAATCCTCACCCGAGGACATTTTTCCATTTTTTGTTCAGATAGAGTGGGAGGGAGAGAGAGGAAGGGAGAGAGAGAGAAACATCGATGTGAAGGGACACATCGAGTGGCTGCCACCCGCACGACCAACCAGGGCCGGGGACAAACTGCAACCGAAGTACGTGCCCTTAGCGGGAACCGAACCCGGGTCTCTCCGGACCGCAGGTCGACACTTTAACCGCTGAGCCAAACCGGCCAGGGCTATTTTATTTACTTTTTAATCCTCACCCGAGGACATGCTTAGAGAAAGAGAAAGAGAGGGAGACATCGATGTGAGACAGGAACGTCGATCGGTTGCCTCCCGTATGTGCCCTGACTGGGGATCATTACCTGTAACCCAGACATGTGCCCTGATCAGGATTCGAACCCACAACCTTTCAGTGCACAGGATGACGCTCAACCAACTGAGCCACTCCTGCCGGGCAAGACTCCTAAACAAGTTTTCAGTATCCCCAAAGCGCTTTAGGAAATGTGTTGTTGCTACTGATATTTACTGAATTAGATAGTAAAACAGAAATTTCTAAAATATTGTTTTTAATTCGTTTAAAAATCACAATAGCCCTGGCCAGTTTTGCTCAGTGGTTAGAGCGTTGACCCGCTGACCGAAGAGTCACAGGTTCGATTCCGGTCAAGGGCATGTACCTCGGTTGCGGTTTGTCCCCAGCCCTGGTCGGGGTCATGGGGGAGGAAGCCAGTGGATGTGTCCCTCTCATGTCGATGTTTCTCTCTCTCTCCCTCCCACTCTACCTGAACAAAAAATGGAAAAAATGTCCTTGGGTGAGGATAAAAAAAAACAAAACACAATAATAAACTCATTCTATGTTAATAGAAATATCATTTTTAATGAACACGTTTCCCCCATCAGAAAAGAAACAGGGAGGAGAATGTCACTGTTGTGAATCTGTGCGGTCACTTGAAGGTCTGTCTGGAGGCCCTGTCTGCCCCGGCCCCGAACGGCCACCACGCGTAATTTCGGTTGAAGCATTAGGAAGGACACCTGGTCCCCCACAGACACGTAATTGGAAAAGAGAGGACCACTTGAATAGCCTTTTATTTATTTTTATTTCCAGTTTTTTGTTAATCCGCACTCGAGGATGTTTTTCCACTGAATGTTAGACAGAGTGGAAGGGAGGGAGGGAGGGAGGGAGAGACATGGATGGGCTGCCTCCCGCACGACCCTGACCAGGGCAGGGGATCGAACCTACGGCCCAGGTACGTGCCTTGACCGGGAATCAAACCCGAGACCCTTCGGTCTTCAGGCCAGCACTGCGGCGCTGACCCAGCCGGCCAGGGGTTAGCAGCCTTCGGACAGCTGAGCACGTCACGCTTTGCTGCTGCAGCGCACTGGGCAAGGGGCAGCTTCCCCAAGGCCCGTGCGACGTGGGGTCTGACACCACAGCGGCGAACGCCCTCCTGCCGCCCACGAAACCCGCGCCCGCCTTGCGCGCCCGCTGCTGTGCCACCAGGTGCTGGTCGTCAGGTTCCCGGGCCGGGCGGTCTCCCCAGGCCTGGCACAGCCCCTCACCTCCCACGCCTGGCAGCTGCCGAACGCGAGGAGGTGCCACGGAGCTTCTGAAATTTCAGTTTTTGCCAGAAAGCCGAGTTTTACTGTTGGCAACAAATAGTCTTGGTTGTTTTCGTTCAGGCTCATGTGGGTTCATTTTTGAGAAAATGTCTCCCCCCAAACCGACTCTGAGTGGCAAGTTCGTCAGTGTTTTGTTTCTCCCTAAATAAAAGCGACATTCCGTAAAGAGCGGCCGGGCCAGCTGGAAGCTGGCAGCGTCCCAGGCTCTCCGCAGGCGCAGGGACGCGGGGACCCTCGGCGTGCGGCGGACGGTACTCCTGACTCTGTCGCGGGGAATGTTAAAACGCTGCGTGTTCAAGGCTGAAGTCTTAATAACTCAGCATCTCTTACTGCTTAGAAATGAAACCGTGTCGACGACAGGTGCCTGCCGGTGAGGACCGTGGGGATTCTGAGTGGGGGTGCCTGCCTGCTCTCTGCTGCTCCCCCCTGTGTTCTGGTGCAGATGCCAGGAACCAGGCCACATCATGTCTCAGTGCTCGTACGGAAGGAGTGGACCTTTGGATCCCGGAGGGGTCCTGGCGACCGCAGGGGTCCTGCTCTGCATCATCTCTCGGAGCCACTGCTCAGACGCCTCGTGTCGGTCGCCTGTGCCCCCAGGCAGCCCCTCCACTTCCAGAGCCTCAGCTGCCATGCGGTCCTTTCTGACACTGGACCAACTGCAACGTGCCTCCGGGGTTCCTGTTTCCCCTTCTGGGGACAAACCGCATCAGACTCCTTCCCTTCCCCCGTTGCTGGTCGAACATTTTAAGACAGTTAAGTCATTGTCTGGACAAAACGGCTCAGGTCTCTGAGTCTTTCCCGTTGGGCTCATTCTGGGGGAAGGTGACTCAGCCTGCAGCGCTGCTTCCAAAGGAACTGGACACGATGCAGTGAGTGCGTGTCTGTGGACAAACGTGAGGATGGCGGGTGAGTGCACGCTGCGTGTGACATTCTGTCTGTGGAGCTACATCCTCACAGCTACTTTGGTGGCCTCACACACTTATCCACCCATCCACCCATCCATCCATCCATCCATCCATCCATCCATCCATCCATCCACCCATCCACCCATCCATCCACCCATCCACCCATCCACCCATCCACCCATCCATCCATCCATCCACCCATCCACCCATCCACCCATCCACCCATCCATCCATCCATCTACCCATCCACCCATCCATCCATCCATCCATCCATCCATCCATCCATCCATCCACCCATCCACCCATCCATCCATCCATCTACCCATCCACCCATCCACCCATCCATCCATCCATCCATCCATCCATTTGTCCATCCATCCGTCCATTTGTCCACCCACCCATCCATCCATCCATTCACCCACCCACCCATCCACCCATACATCCATCCGTCCATTTGTCCATCCATCCATCCATCCATTCATGCATCCATCCATCCATCCATCCATTTGTCCATCCATCCATCCATCCACCCATCCACCCATACATCCATCCGTCCATTTGTCCATCCATCCATCCATCCATTCATGCATCCATCCATCCATCCATCCATTTGTCCATCCATCCATCCATCCACCCATCCACCCATACATCCATCCGTCCATTTGTCCATCCATCCATCCATCCATTCATGCATCCATCCATCCATCCATCCATCCATCCATCCATCCATCCATTTGTCCATCCATCCATCCATCCACCCATCCACCCATACATCCATCCGTCCATTTGTCCATCCATCCATCCATCCATTCATGCATCCATCCATCCATCCATCCATCCATTTGTCCATCCATCCATCCATCCATCCATCCATCCATTTGTCCATCCATCCATCCATCCACCCACCCACCCATACATCCATCCGTTCATTTGTCTATCCATCCATCCATCCATCCATCCATCCATCCATCCACCCACCCACCCACCCACCCATCCGTCCATCCACCCATCCACCCATACATCCATGTGACCATTTGTCCATCCATCCATCCATCCATCCATCCATCCATCCATCCATCCATCCATCCAATCATCCATCTATCCACCCACCCATCCAACCATTTTTTCATTAACCCATCCATTTATTCACATAGTCAATCAACAAGCACCAGTTTAGCACCAGCTCCGTTCCGGATGCCGTGATGGGAGACAGGGATGGCCCACTCAAGGACGTCAACCTTGCCCTTACGCAGCTCACGTCCCACAGTCAGTCTGCACAGCATCTGGCCGATGCACATGCTCGACCTCCGATGCTGCCTGTCCACAAGGCTCGTAGCTCAAGCCTCGTACACTTGCCTGATCATGTTTTGCCTTGATCTGTGCATCCCTTGGCCCCGCGAGTTCTTGGATAAAAACCGCGGATACACTGGCGTGAACCTCAGAGCCCTCGCTCCTTCGTGCCCCCGTCAC